GATGTAGGGATGAAAAAAGAACGTTGCATCTATGTGGATAGTTTGTGGATAAATCTGCATCCACGTAGTCCACGTAAATTACGTGGATTCGACGTGGATGTGACGTGACTGTTTTTATCGGGTAATACCTGCCGTAGATGCCATGTGTAATAAGGAAAGAATGCAAGTACTGTGAGAAACATGTAGCACTCAATAAATAAAGTGTAATATGTAAATATTAATTTATTTTTATTGTTTTAGATATACATTTATCGTATATTGTAGCACTCACGATTATTAAAAGACCTAAAATCTAATACAAAAATTGTACGTCAGTATTCGTGTAAATAAAATAATTCGTCAAATTAATAGTGTTTTTCCTAAAATGGCATCTTATCCCAATGACTAGGAGAAGGATGCCACTCACTCTTTACATGCTGACATTATAGAAGAAATGGTTATTCGGGTTATAAGACAGCCATTTCATGTAGTTTTAAAATATGTTAAATAAATCTACTTTTAATAAAAAGAAAATATGAAACATCTTAACAAAGAAAAGTATAATATTATAAAAAGCCTACTCACCACTTGGGTTAAACAGATTTTTCCAGATTCAAACTGATATGTGTCTCAGATATGCGAACAGATATGGATAACAGAAGGGTGGTGATTGTGTTTCTTATTGTAGAAGAAGTGAGTCCTATCGAAATTTATTCGTATATCAGAAATAGTGTTATCACAAAAATTTATGAGACGCGAATGAATTTCAATGGCTGCATTTAGCAGAAAAAGCAAGTTAGCGAGCGATCAGTGATTTTATTAAATAATTAAACCTTACCTTTAGTTCTTCCCTGAATCCAAGTGTAAAACCGATCGTAATAAAGAATCTTTGAGCGCTTATTGAGCTATGCTTTCTTCACTGAACGCAGCCATTGGAACTTTTTTCACAGTAAGAAATTCATCGCCCTTGTCTGTTTTATTGTATAAGTATCTAAAACATAAATTATATAGTTTGAATTGCTTGTGTGACACACTCACATAAATGATCACAACACCACTCAACATAGTGCAACTAAAGACTTCAATAAGTAACAACTCATCAGTGAAACGCAAAATTTTCTATGGCGTCAGATTCGAAAGAAAAATTTAGGAGGCATTACTTTCGTATCGACCCTCGTAGTAAAATAGTTAAAAGTTAAAAAAAAAGATTAAAAAGTTGATAACTTTTAACTTACAATTAGATTAGTTAATTTAAAAAGTATTAATTTTTATCTTAAACTAGTTATTTTTGAAACACATAAACTTAAACTTTTTAACTTTTTTTCCTGAGTTTTTTTATCTCTGAATATATGCCAATATTTTTTTCTATAAAATCTTGAACATTAGACAATTATTTTTAAAATGTAATTCTATGTATGTAATTCTCATAGATTTATATAGAAAGATCGGCCTCTGTTGTAAGAGGCAGCATGGTAACATTAATGATGCAAACATACCTCCACAGAGTCAATCTGTCTTTTTCTTCTGATCGCTTAGAAGAACACGCTGCCTCTTACGGCAGAGGCCGGTCTATTGAGTATCTATATTTCTGCACAACTTTCATAATTGTAAAAGATAAAAATATGTAGAGGAGACCGGGGCAAAGTTGTCACTATTTTTTCGGTGCCAATTTTTAACAACAAAACAAATAATTTTAGTAAAATATGATGTATCGTTATAAAGAGTGAACCCTTGGCTACAAAATTTATAAGGGTATTTTTGGTCTACGTCGCTTTGTTCAACCGGTATAGAGTAAAAACGACAAAGGTGCAAAAATTGAAATATAGCAAAATTGCCGGGCCGGAGTCGTTACTCCATTCTCGGACTAGATTTTAAATAAAAAAATACATAATTTCTATTATAAAAAATAATAAGATACATTTTATTAATTATTTTTTAATTAAAAAATGGAAACATTAATTAAAACATAATGTCGAAAAATAATTACAAGAAAAGCGCACTTGTGTGCCCTATGCTCGCACGAAATGCACTGTTTCTCGTCAGTTCTTCTCAGCTCTGTTCTTTGTCATCTCTAAGCACACGCAGTACATATTATTTAAATCCTCGTCGGAATCCGACCACTGCTGCTTTCTTGACTTTGATTTTCGCCCTTTGATTTTTGAAGCTTCCATAATATTGTACGGCCATGTCATCCAAGTGTGCATTTCATCATTATTCTTCTTCAGTCAGTCGTTCAACGTAGTTCTCGGGACTCCAAATTGTTTTGCGGCTACTTTTGTCTTAATTTTATCTTTTTAATTATTTTTATTTTTTTTTTACCGTAAGAACTGCCTTCCTGAGTTGCTCCTTGTCGACGGGAGTCGTTGTGTGATGGTACGTACGTACCATTTTCTTGCAATTGAGAAATACAATGACGCATTTGCAACGAAAAATAGAGCGAAATCACCGGGATAAAGTCGTCACAGTCCGCCTCGGTGGCTTGGTGACGACTTTCTCCGGGCCCGGACATAGATTTTAAGTTTGATCGCTCATAAAATATTATAAACCTTTTGACAGACAAAATTGTTGTAAATGTGTGCAAACGTATGACTAAAATTGAAATTAGAAAGCAAAAATGATCACTTTTTGCGTAATCAAAAAATCTCGAGATAGATTGCACCAATTTTATTCAGCAACCGAAAACTTTGCTCGAATATTTTACTCAAAAACTCGTTTCGCAAAAATTTTAGATGAACTTGATAACGTCTTGACGTTTATGCAATGACGTAAAATCAGTTAGTCGTTTTTTCTGCGTATTTGGCATTGGTCAACAATGCATTTTACATACAATTAAAATTAGCATATGCATCAGATGTCAAAGTTTAGCGGATATTATTTATATTTATGAATGCGTAAATGCGTGACGACATTACACAAAGTAGATTAAACCATGTGATTAATATTCGGTGGTCACACGAAGTCACAGTGACCCTAACCAATTTTCAAATAGCTGCATGCTGCTTAAAAACTAACGGTTTAAGTGGATAGCAAAAAATTCTAGAATTAAATTTAAACATTGTAGAATGTATTCTCATTATAAAAAATTAACTTTTTGAGTGGCATCATGTTAAAAAAAAATCCTTTAAGAAATGTTCAAAAAAGAGGTATGACCACCGAGGGTTAAATCAGCACATTTTTCCATCACGCATGAATTATATGGATTTAAATAAAATTTGATTTTTCATTATTCCTTATTACTATATATATATATAAATATATAATATAAAAAATAATTTTTCCTCTTGTAAAAAAATCTGAAGAAGGATATTCCAGCGTGTTCGGTCAGTACAAGACTGCATGTACAGTAGACGGTGCACAATAATAATAATAATATATTCGTATTAAAATAAATGAATAAGTAATTAAGAACTCTTGATAATGAAAATAACAAGTAACAAGTAAAAAGATTGGTTTGAGAGTACAACGCCGTTAACAGTGCGTAAGTTAACGTTATCTCAACCTTTAATAACTAATAAGCAGAGTTGGGAACTAATGCGTTACTTGTAGTGCCGGGGGATGGTCAGGTAAATGGCGTGTGTAAAGATAAGTAAGAGTATGAAGGAGGATATGTATAGGGGTATACAAGTATTTAATTGTCAATTTATAAGGGGACACCAAGACCACAACGTTGATGACATCTTTTAAATCCAAATTACGATTTCGACATATGTTCTTAAAAAATCTCCCTTAATATTTAATGTAGAAAAAAATAAAGACACTTTTATTATAGAAGGTGTTTCTTATAGATCGCTTAAACTACATAGCGCTATATTCCTTATCAAAAATTGAATTGAAAAGTCCTGAGCTATTTTTTTACTATAATGCTTAATAAAACAGTAATTATTACGCGCACCCGTAGTGCGCTCACGCAGATGCGACTTGGCAGAAGTTTCTCTGTGCCAAAGGAGAAATGCAAGAATTAAAAAAAAATTTTTTTAGGGACGTTCTAAACTTCAATCAGCTTAATAAACAGTAATTTCTTGGTATACTGTTTCTAAATTTATTTTATTATTATATACATATTCAGCATTGTGTCTGTCTCAGTAATTTCCATGATTGTATGGTAAACATGTATAATGAATGCATCAATGTTGAAATGTTAGAAATTTCGATCGGCTGCGACATTAATATGTATGTACAGAAAATGTAATACATAAATAGAGAGGATTGGAGATACGTGACTTAGTTGCGTTTTGACTTCACTCTTGAATGTTTCAATTGCCACGGTACTTCCACTTCCTATTGGTACGTATATATAATTTTAAATTGTATTTGATTATTTTCTTTATTTTACATTTATATCTGTTTTCTCAAAAAATAAATAATAGCATTTTGTTGTAGAATTTGTCTATTTTGAAAATAGATACTATGAATCGACCTAACTCGCATAACAGCATCGATGCTGAAGAAGAAATTGTTATCTCCGGCATTGCTGGCCGATTTCCTAATAGCGACAATTTAAAAGAGTTTCAAGAAAATCTTTTTAACAAAGTGGATCTTGGTTCAAACGATCATGGACGCTGGAATAATTGTAATAAATTTTTCTATTAATATTAAGCTATATATATTTTTAAAATTTAAAAAAATTCGTATTTTATAATAATTATAATTAAAGATTTGCAATATTTAATCCAAAAATTTTTAAAAACAATGTCAGAATCGAATAAACTGTGTGTTACACTATATATATATATATATAGTGTAACATATAGAAAATGCTTCAGTATGTTCAGAACTATTTGAAAAATATTTTAGATAAATCGAAACTGCGACATTTCGTACAGCATATTACTCTATTCTCTTTAAGTACGTTCAGAACTATTCGAAAAATGTTTTATATAAACAGGAACTCCGAGATTTCGTCGGCATCTCACTCTATGCTACGGAAAACTATAGCAGATAATTTTTTCAATGGACTTTTTTTGGCAAAATGATCAGAATTATTGTTAAAAAGTATTAGAAACTATAAAATTCGACTGTATGCGAGAAGAATTCTCTTTTATTTTTGATTTGCTAGAAAATGATCTGCTACGGGAAGTTAGCAGAGCATTTTTTCGATTGACTGTTTTTTGAGTAAAATTACCAGAATTATTACTAAAAAGTATCAGGAACTATAGAACTCGATTGCATGCGACAAGAACTCTTTTTTATTTTTGATTTGCTGAAAAATGATATGCCAATTTCATCAACATCATTAATTCAAACACTTTTATGACCTCCTTTTTCTTGTTACTTGTTAATATATTTATTTCTTATATAGCTTATTATAACATGCCTCATCGAATCGGTCAAGTCAACAATATCGAGAAATTTGATTCAGAATTTTTTAATATACCCGCTACGGAAGCTCATATAATGAAGCCTATGTCTAGAATGTTATTTGAACATACTTACGAAGCAATTATCGATGCGGGTGTAAACCCAAAAGAATTACGAGGAACAAGAACGAGTGTTTTTACAGCACTTTCTACATCTGAGACTCAATCGTATTTTTCTAGTAAACCTGAGGTGTGATATATTTAATTAATATGTACAGCATAATTAATAGAAATTTATTTAAGAAAGTAATAACCATATGTAAAATTCTTATTGCAAGCACAGAAATCTGTCCCCTTTTACTATGTAAAGTACAGAAATATTATACAATATTTTTAAATAATTTAAAAAATAAATATTTAACTTATAACTTATTATTTATACATTTTAATATTTTAAATACATTCAAAACCATGTACTGTGATTAGCTTGCTAGATTATCTATGATTGGAAACAACATTTCTTTCGTGGCAAACCACATTTCTTATTGGCTCGGCGTTACTGGACAATCGCATAACATTGATACTGCATGTAGTTCAAGTAACGTTGCTATAGTGAAAGCTTACGAGCTGATTCGGTCCGGAGAGTGCGACGCGGCCATTATCGCTTCCGCTAATCTATGCCTACATCCTCATATACAATTTCAATTTTACCATCTAGGTATGTATTTATTATATCTTATTATATTTTATATTTGTATATTGTATGTTGGATCATAAGAAATATTGATATATTTAGGTACCTACTTATCTATCTCATTTATTTTCATTTTTACGCAAAATTTCAGATTTTGCTTCCTCATAGAGGAAGCTTTGTGATGGTAAAAATAAAATTTTTCGAGATTTTGATGGAAATAGGTTTAGAATGTTCTAAAATGTCGAAAAATCGTATTAGTAAAAAATGTCCGGAAGTATGTATTTATGTGTGTGTGTATGTACAGATTTTTGTACACGCATCTACTTTTACAATTTTTTAGATACCGGGTTGAAATTTTTCACACAAATAGAGTATCATAGAAAGTATGTTCTCCTCAAATTTTATTAAAATCGGTTGACCGGTATAGATTTTATTGGAATTTTTTTTTTTTTAGAAAAGTGTATTTTATTTTATAGCTTTCTCAATATTTGAGATAGCGATCTATATCTAATTCTATTAAATTTTTCAGTTTTTTTTACCCCTATTTCATATATAATTAATTAAGATTTGGTTAATTAGTTCTGGAGTTACAAACGTTTGAAATTTCGGAAATTTTGATTGCGTATAAAGCTAAGTCTAATCAACCGAATTTAAAAGAATTATATATGAAATAGGGGTAAAAAAGACTGAAAAATATTATAAAATTAGAAATAGATCGATATCTCCAAATTTGTGGAAGTTAAAGCTTCCTCTATGAGGAAGCTAAGTGCAAATTTCTAATTTGCACAATTTTATTACATTTTTATATAATTCATAAGGAATAAATGTTATGAAAATATGTAAAGATGATTTTTTATAGTAGACAATTCATATCTTACACTTTTAATTTTATAACAAACAAGAAAGTAGTTTCGAATAAAAGATATATCGTGATCTGTTATACAATATAAAATAATAATTTCAAAAATAATTGTTAGTTTTTTATATATACTAGAACAATACAAGCGCGCGCTACGCGCGCGCCATTTAGCTTTTTCATTATATATATATATCACAAAATACTACAATACTACACGCGCTTAAACATAAAATAAATACAATACTACTACATTATAGCTTAAATATAAACATAAAATATATACAATACTACTACATATACGCGCGCCATTTATTCTTTAATTGTACATTTTTAATGATATACGCACATAATTATATATGTCACAAAAACTACTTTTATATAAAAATTTAAGAGGAGAAAAATTATACATATATTTCTTTATATACGTAATTTTTAACTTGTTTATTATTTCGCTGACTGCCAAGATAAATTTTTAATGCTTCCCAAGAACGTACTCGTGAAAAGGCAACATAAGGTTGTCCATGATTAAAAACATCTTTACGAAGATCTATTCCTACTCTGTCAAATGTTTGTCCCTGTGACTTGTTAATTGTCATAGCAAAAGCTAATTTTATCGGAAATTGTCTTTTTAAAAAAATGAAAGGATATACATTTTCGCAATACAAAGTTATACGATTTAAGAAAACAATATCTCCTACTTTATCACCCGTTAAAATTTTACATTTCAATAATAAGTGATCAGGAAGTTCTATAATCATTAATCTAGTGCCATTGCAAAGACCTTCATTGATACTGAGGTTTCTAATTAACATAATGACACAATTCGGTCTTAAACGTAATTCACAAGGAGGAAGAGATGACGGAGACAAAGTATTTAAATATTCTGGTAGTAAAACTACACCAATGTCACCATTATCACCACAGTTTTCAGTACTATCTGTACTTGTATAAATTCGTTCTTCAAATGTATCTAATAATTCGACAACTCGTTTATTAATTTCATCTACATCGACATTTCTTGCAGAAAGTATTGCACACTTTGACATTTTATTAAATTCTTTATTTCGTATTAGATCACCATATATATCTTCTACAATATCGGCGTTAATTGGTGTAATACAATAATCCGGAAGTTGTATATTATCATTAGAATCATTTAATATGCCATGCTCCCATATCTAATAGAAATTTTGCAAATTCAGTTTCCTCTGGAAGAACTCGCATGTTTTCCGTTAAAGAAAAACTTATAAAATGTCTCCAAGTAGAACTAAACTTGATCGAAAGATTCACGATTTCATTTCGAGTACTATGTATCTTAATAGGGAGAAGCTGTCTAAAATCACCACCTAATACAATAATTTTTCCACCGAAAGGTAAATCATTATTCATAATGTCACGCAACGTTCGATCCATAATCTCTAGAGCATATCGTGGTGCCATTGGCGCTTCATCCCAAATAAAAATATTTGTTTTTTTCAAATATTGAGCTTCTTTTGATTGAATTTTAATGCTGGATGATGAATTAGCAAATAATGGAACCGGCAATCCAAATGTCTTATGAACCGTTTTTCCTGCTGGCAATAACGTCGCTGCAATGCCCGTAAAAGCCATTGTACATACATGTTTCTTACGAATTTTAGCTAAATGATAGATAGTTGTGTATGTAAACGTTTTACCTGAACCACCTGGACCATCGATATAAAAACAATTGCTATTGTGATTATTATTATCTAATTTTTTAAATATAAGATCTACTATTTCTTTTTGCTTGTCATCAAACTGTTCATATTGTCTGATACCAACTTCCATAGCTTGCTCAAGTGTTGTATAATCTTCGTCTTCATAATTTTCTGTCAATTGTTCCATTTGTGGAAAATCTGCGAAAGTTTTACCCTCAGCAGAAAGCATGGTACCAATTTGTGCATAAGCTTTCTGTTGTCCTTGTAACAATCCAAAGTGTCGCACATAGTCTTCTGACATCGCTACTTTAAAATTTTCCCAAAGCTCTTCAGGATGCAACGGTTGACAATGTAATAATATACGTACAAATAATCTACGAAGTTGTCTTGACATCATCCATCCAACAGCTTCATTCATAGCTCGTCTCCATTCATCATCATCTTCAATCAAACCTAAAGCCAGACATGCCGCTGAAAATGATTGACAAACTTCTCCATTTACAGTTTTTAAATTATCGAAACTCGTAGCTCCTTTTACAGTGAATAATAATAGTCGTAAATGATATAATTCAGTTTGTGTTGGACTAACGGAATACATTCGTCCTATACAATTATAATGACTTTTGCGTTTAACCCAACGTGATAGATTTCTTCCATTAATTTTCTCTTTCTTAAACGTATAATAGCGTGGAATTTCTACATATAAATACTGTCTTGCTTCTTCATCACGAGAATTTAATGAGAAATAATCAATTAACATTGTAACTTGATTTAAAGCAGAAGTCATTGCTTCTTTAATGGCTTCATTTTCGATTATAACATTTTGTTCATTAGGAAGATGCACAGGCAAACGTACAATAGTATAGCTTTTATCTTGTAGCTTCTTTTCAAAAATACGCCAACTGGCTTCTACAGGTCCAACATAACGAGTTTCTATAAAATCATGTATCTCATCATGATCAATAATTACATTTTCTGTTATTGGCTCAATTGTTATAGCAGCAACATCATGTCCTTTGTAAATATACTTATACAGATATTTAACCGATTTAATACTTGAAACTACCTCAACATTTATGTGACAATTAAAAATGATCGATAAAGTAGGACAATACGGAACTACATAACGATTATCAACTATATATCCATTAGGGCGTTCAAAATTTCTACTATTATTTTGTCGACGATAATAAGGATAAGCATCTTCATCCATTCTGGTTTCTTCAAGATATGGTTTAGGATAATGTTTTGAACACTTTCTATCTACCAAATACCAATCACCACAAGGTCCATGAATCATATGTTTCATTACTATATCATGTAAAGTACGAGTGTCACAAGGATCAGGAATTTCAGCAGAAATATATTTGTCAACAATTTG